TTGAGCTTTTTCATGGTGGTTTACATTGTTTCATTCAGTTTTTTGATCAAAATGTCAATTTCGATATCAGAATCTGACTTTTGAAACAAAAACTTTTGCTTCATGAATAACTATTTTTAGAGTTTACGAGATCGAAAATTCATTGCGAAATTTCCTTTCGTGGGTTTCAGTAAATTTATCATTTTTTTGCTTATTTTTACTCATTTACAAATTCGATATTTTTCAGTTCGGAATTCAAGATTTTGCCCCAAAGAAATTTGTGAATTTTCCAAAAATTGACTTAAACTTTCTGAAAGCGTAAAAACGTTGCTCAGAAAATGGCAAATGTCTGATCGAGATAATTGGATGCAAAATTTGGAGCAGAAATCTTGACCCAAATGTTATCCTGATGATTCCAATTAACATGACAGAATTGCAACATTCTGTAAACATTGGCTGCTCGAAACTTTTCCTGAACTAAATTAACTTGAACTTCACGGAAATAAAGTGTTTCAATGTTTTACCTAAACAGATGACTTTCCCCTCATCATGCAAGAACCACCATGAAAACCTATAAAAACCTATAAGAATATTTCATTCCAAAGGTAAATTCAGAGTTAAGATTATCATTGGAAACTCAGAATAAAAATGAAACAAAAACGAGAAAAGTAAATTTTTTTCATTTTCCCATTAAATTTCATTTCTGGTCAACAGATTAACCCTCAAATGAATCTCATTTCATTATTTCAAAGTTACTTCAAAAGTTGAACATGAATAGATTAAAGTTTTTAAAACTAAAGTTTTCCTGTGAAAATATGGGAAGCAAGTTATAAAGCAAATGGAAACTTTTCATTGCTGTATTTACAAAAACATCAAATCATGATAAACTTCATGATGCATGTAATATGAATATGGAAAGAAAAAGATTGAACAAAAACAAAGCAAACATTTGAAAGACCAGAAAAGGGAATGAAAAATGTTGAACATTTAAAGTTGAACTGATTAAGATTACTTACCTTTAGCAACATTGAGTATGATATAAAAACAGATGAAATATGATGAATTGAGTAAATCCATTTTGAGATTCGTCTTTTGATATTTATTGTTAATTGTTTCAATTGTATTCCAATTGTTTAATCCAATTTGGTAAACATTTCAATTCTTTCAACTTTTACTAGACACTTACATAGAGATACAATGTTGACTAACAGAGTGACCAAACTTTTTCTTATCCAAACTTGTTCCGATCTTGAATCTTCCCTGTCATCACTTACTCACTCATCATCTTTCAAATGCTCCAGAGCATGAATAACCTTTCAACTCTCTTATCCTATATCATGAAAAATAATATCCTGCCCATGATGATAACCTTCTCAGACTCAGTTGATTCAGAATTTTACTTTTTTCCCTTTCCTCAGCCTTCTATAATTTATCAATTTTGCCTTTTCAAGTTGCAACAATAATTTGTTTATTAAGGATTTTGTTTTGTCTTTTTTTTACAATTTGTATTGATTGTTGATTCTGTAAACAGTAAACATGTTAATATTCATTTATATATATTATGATTAAAATTATTTTCATTAGTGTTGATAATAAGGTAACAAAAAGGTTAACTGTTATCTAAATGGTAGTTGGTTAAATTTGTGTTTACGGTTTACTCATTGCGGTTGACAAGAAACGGTTTTGTTGGGTTGCTGGCTATTGAGTTGTGATTTGAATCATTGATATTTGTTCAGACCGTTGGACTTGTTTTAAACGGTTCATTGTTGATCAATT